ACAACCACAACGAGGAGTCGAGCGTGGGCTCCTGCGGCACGGTTACACCGGGACCGGGCTCTGGTTCCGGCTCCGGCGCCGGCGCCGGGTTGAGCGCCGCTGCTGCTGCAGCGGGCATGGCGGCGGGCCTGCTGGCTGCCGCTGCTGTGGGCGGTGGCCCGGGTGCAGCAGGCGGTGGCCCGGGTGCAGCAGGCGGTGGCGGCTCAGGTGGCGACAATGCCGTGGGTGGCGGCAGCTATGCCGAGCACAAGCTGCAGCTGAGCAAGAGCGGACGCAAGCCGCGCCGTCGACGCACAGCGTTCACGCACGCGCAGCTGGCGTACTTGGAGCGCAAGTTTCGCTGCCAGAAGTACTTGAGCGTCGCCGATCGCAGCGATGTGGCCGAGACGCTGAGCCTGTCCGAGACGCAGGTGAAGACCTGGTACCAGAATCGACGGTAAGTTGTCAAAATGTAAGATCTTGTAATTTTTTTTAATATCTGCGTATCTTTTGTATCTCGAAATTCGAGTTTAATATTCGATTTTTTGTTTGCGCTTATAAGTAGACTACATTTTTTTCACATTCTTGCAAGCTCCATTGTGACGGACAGACAGCTCGTTGCTATGTAACTCATGTTAAACTGTCTCTCTCTCTCTCTCTCTCTCGCTCTCTTGGCAGCACTAAATGGAAGCGACAGAATCAGCTGCGCCTGGAGCAGCTGCGCCATCAGGCCACCTTGGAGAAGGACTTTGTGGTGCAGGAGAATGGCGGCGGCAATGCGCTCGGCTGCTGCCCCAGCGGCTTGTCCAGCTCGTTCAGTGCCGCCGCCGCAGCCGCTGCTGCCGCTGCCGCTGGCAATCCGTGCAACTTCCTGACGTCGGCCGCGGCGGCCGCCATATTCCGCAACGTCAGCTACGTGCACGGCTGCCCCATGTAGAAGAGCGGCAAGCCCCAAAATATTTGCCACTACCAGCTCCAACCAGAGTCCAACCGAATTCCACGTTTGCCTATGTAAATATGATGACGATGTTGAGGATGATGATGATGATGATGATGATCGGAGTGAATTTGTTTTTTTTTGTGCAATACGAATTTTTATTTCTAACTCGATGTCTACTTCAATGCGTATCGATCTATCGCAGTTATCGATAAGTGTATACGAATATCCCAATTCCCCCCATGTCTGCTCTTATCAGTAAACCCTAGGCTTAGTCTAATTAACTGTAATATATACTCGCTCGCACACACACACACTTAAACACACTCGTATGTAACGGTAATAACAATTGTGAACTCTGTGCACTCGATAAACGATAATTTTTTTTTGTGAAAAATAAAAATTGAATTGCATATTTGATGAAAAAATACACTAAAGCAAAAATGTTCGTTATCAAATTGTTTAACTGTGATTTTTGTTTGGGCGAATATCATGGGAAACGATATACGTGATGTACTTTGAAAGTAATGCCAGATCCAGAACCGGGTAAGGAAGACGTTATGCTTAGAATGCATAAATGAAGTCAAGATAAAACAAAATCATGAATGGAGATTACTTTAAAAAATAGATATTAACTTTAAATTAAAAACAAACAATAAATGCGATACTTTTTGGGCAGCTCTCTTATATCTGTATTAATTGCTCAAATTTCATTAGAAAATATCAAATAGAAATATAAACATATACGATAAATAAATGTATGTTTTCTTCAATATATTTCACATTTAATATTGTAAACAATATTCCTTTACGTAATCAGGAGGAAAACATCTCATTTGCGAAATAATTCTATTCGATTCGAAGTCTCGTCAAAAAAAAAACTATCAATAACTACTTTCGATATATCTTTAGATGCAATCATTTACCGTTTGGTTTTTTTTTTTTTATTCTTGTAGCAGCTGCAAGTAAACGCTGCGAGCTGCATTTCCGATTGTGCAGAGCATTGAGTCTCATGCTTAAAAATCAACTTGAGCGAATGATACAAAACGATATCAATTTGTCGCTATATAGTAGTAAATGGCATGCTATGTGCATGCAGCCAATACATGCATACATTTACATATACATATGTGCTGCGAATACGTATGTGTGTGTGACTGTGTAAAAGTTAGATTGGGCTGAAGCGGGTGGCATAGCAGCCAACCGGAAAACAAGCAACAACACTGCATGCAATTAAAACGGGCCGCAAAAGAGCTTGCGCATATGGCGAACGCACGGGCGAGAGCGAGACAGCAGTAGTGACAGTGAGCATAAGCTGACTGTGTGTGTGGCTGGGCTGAGCCTTGAGCAGCGACGTCGCGTCGCAGTCGACTTTTGTGGTTAGATTTTCATGCACATTTAGCTCGCTATGATGATGGGGGGGCCACAGCACAAAAAGGACGAGAAATGTTTAGCCACAAATTGAATCTGCGGCGAGTCAGTTAACAAGCAGCGCCCGGCCGCAGCGAGTGCGAGCAGGATGCACTGACATGAATGCAAGCCCCAGAGCAGCAGTGACTAGACGAGTGCAGAGAGATCGAGTGAGGCTGAGAGATAGAGCGAGAGAAGCGAGGAGTGGGCAGTAAGCTGGGCTGTAGTCATAGTTCGAGTGGCCGCAACGGAAGCAGCGCAGCAGCAGCGCAGAACGCTAATTAAAAAGGCACTTGAACTGGATGCGACGTCGACGGCGGCGGCGACGACGGCGACGGCAATGGCGATAGCGATGGCGATGGTGAAAAAAAAAAGCAAACTAAAAAGTGAGAAGAAGGAGTGAGAGAGAAACAAGTTAACTTTGCCGTTGTAGCGTCGCTGCATTACAGTTATCCATGAAATTGTCTATGAAATGTGAATGTAATTAAATGAATAAAATGCAAGCAGACTTCAACCGCCTCGCCTCCTCGCCGCCTGGCCCTTGGCCCGCTCTGCATTCAGTTTCGTTTGCCTTTGCGAATTCATTTTTGTTTGCGGTTCATTTGCGCAGCCATTGAGAACTCAATTGCATTTTTTAATTGGTACATTTTATGTCTGCCATCCTTTGAGTGGCAAAGGAACTCGGCTCGCAGTGCTCAGCCGTGGCTGCCACTTTGATTTGTATTTATTTAATGAGTTATTAATTGCATTAAGCTTTGATTACAATTGCACAAATGCAGACGCAGGTCTCAACTAAAGCTGAAAAGAGCGCACCAAAAGGCAATCAAATATGGTCAAAGGCAAAAAAGGGCAAAGGCCATGCACAAAGTTGCCTCTATCATATACATGTATGTGTGTGTGTGTGTGTATGTGTTTGTCTATGCAAAAGCACGCAATTCTGACTGCTATGACACTTCGGCTGAGCTGCAGCAGCTGCTGACTGATCTGTGCCTAAGCTTGACATAAGCTGATTGATATATAACTCACATTAAGCTTGCATTTATTCAATTTGAGAACTGTTTAAAGCTATTTCAGATCAATTTTCTTTAAGAATGAATGTGATGGAATATGATGGAGACAAACTAATGTTCATATATACACACATGTGTGTGTATATATATATATATATATAGTATATATCCATTACAAAACTTAATGGACAGCTGTGAAATATCAGACAAACAACTTTTGCAGGTGTTTGAAAATGAGTTTCAGCCGTAAGGAAGAGGTTTTTTTTTGCACCTGAGCAATTTAACGATAAATGCAACACACACACTGAGACAATAACAGCCTGCTGGTGACATCAACAGCTACAAAAACAGTAACAACAACAACAACAACAGCAGCAACAACCACCAACGTCATCATCATAGAGACAAGTGTTCAACACGCCCCGCGGCACAAACACAATTTGCAACATTTTTCCAAACGGATAATGACAAACATTTTAATCACAAAATGAAACCGAAACCGAATCCAAATCCGCAGAATCCACCACCGAAACGAGCAAGCGAACCGAGCAGGACAGCAAGAGGTGCGAGCGCAGGGCCACCAACCGAAAACACCACAGCGAAAGGTCCTGCAGGCCAAACACCACTTGATGTCGCAAGTCAAGTGGGTTCTTGGTCTTTGCGTCTTCCACAAACTTAAGAGCGATACAAAATAGATATTTCACTTTAAGGAAGTCGTAAAAGCGCATGAAATAGAATCTAATTTAAAACCTCTTTCATATATGAGGTGAAAAGAGAGAGAGAGAGAGAGAGAGTGAGAGAGATAGATAGAGAGAGAAAGAGAGAGAGAGAGAGAGAGCGAGAGAGACAGAGAGAGAGAGAGAGGAGAGCGAAAGCGAGAGAGTGTACAGAGATAGATAACGGGAGACAGCGAGTCAGAAAGAGAGGGAATGACAAAGTTAATGAAAACTCTAATGATAATGGCAATGACAATGAAAATGTTAATGAGGACATTAATGATATATTTACATATCTTTCTTAAGAATGCCAATCCCAATTCTTATGCCAATGTCTAATGATAATGCTAAACCTAGCGCTACAGCTATATAAAATTAACATTATAATAATAATCAAAAATTCGTATGACAACAAAGATGATAATAATGGAGCTTCTCTCTGTTAACTGTGCTTGAGGTTAGTCAAAATGCTTTCCGCAGTGTCAGGCAGCTCTTCAGTTACCTCTGCTCTTGTTTTCTTACGCCCTCCCATCTTGGAACCAGATGCTATCCTACATAATCCTTCAAGCTTGACCTCTATCTATGTACTCCAGTTAAGCCAGGAAGTTATGGACTCTATTGCTCAACTTTCTTCTAAAAAGTACGAAAGATGATTCTAGTTTAGTCGAGTATACCAGACTAGTCTATACCCACTTATAAATATTCCCACTTAAAATCGACTTCAATGAAAGACAAATCATTTTTCTTCCAATTCTCGCGCATGAGGCATACTTGAGTTAAGCTTAGCTATTAACACAAAGACAGACAGTGCGAGAGAGAGAGACAGGGAGAGCTATCTACGATCTATTGAGTGCGAAACAAACGCCAAGTTCCGAGCGAGCAAGTTGTTCGACGTTGATTTTAAGCCCGATCTAATTTCTAATCAGTTGATAATTGTGCGTAGAAGCGATCGCAGCTAAACGGACTGCACGTCGTCGTCAAAGTCGTCAAGTGTTTTAGAGTTGGGATATCCGATAACACCAGCTGAATCGCATAATGGAGCCGTAAGTAGTTGGTTAACATACTCGAGATTTTTATTCTCAGAAAAAAAAATCTATAAATGTAAATAACTTTATATATATATACATAGATATACATTCAAATTTATATAGCTATAAAGATATATATATATGTATATAAACGGATTGATATGGAACGGGTATACATGACATTATGAATTCGTTTAGCTTGTCGTTGAGGCGCTTTTGGATAGGGCATTTGAATATGGTATATGCTATCGCCTTAGGCTGTTAGGTTAGTCGTCCAGATCGGAATAGGTGTCGACAGGCACCTCGAACATCTTGGGCGGCTCAGGCTGAAATTCGATTAGTTCCGGTGTTTCCAGCCTGATGCGAGTCAACAAGTTCACCAAGCGAATCACCTGATTCCTAACCTAAATATGTAGATGTGTATGTGTGTGTGTATGTATGCGCATGTGATTGATTGATTGATTGATTGCTTGAGTTCCGTCACTGCTCACCTGATTCATCCAACAGTCGTCGGGACAGACCTGATAGAGTACACTGTTCGCCCAGCTGGCCATGGAGTCCAGATCGACGCGACGTATCTGAAAGAAGTGATCCGGATAGCCGGCCTGCTTGAGCCGCTCATTGTTTTTGAGCACCACCAGCTCGAACACGCGATTGATCGACTCCAGTAGTATATTCAGCTCGCACAGCTGATTGATGTTCATGTCGGCTAGACGAAAATGTGCCTCCTTGCCTAATGCCTCGGCCAGTTCCTTGAATTCGCGAAAGCGATGCATGGTTATTTCCATGGTCAGGATACGTCCAATCACCGCCCAGAGCAGGCACACGCCCATCGGCAGGGCGTTTGCATTGCAATTGACCACGCCCAGAGCGAGGTAGAGCTGATTCGCCTCGACACAGGCGCCCGCCTTTGTCAGCTCTTCCAGCAAATACTCGACATGGCCATGCACCTGCGTGACGAGCAGCAAGAGATTATCTCAATGAACACCTGGCGCCAGTTGGGCGAACCTACGCTCATTGGATCCGTGGTATCCATCATGCCCAGCACACGATGCATCAGGCCGCACATATTCAACTGCATCTCGACTGGGCCATAGGCCAGGAACAGCATGGAAACAGTGACAAACAGAGGGCGCAGCATATCGTCTTCCCAGTCACGACCCGATTGGCGCACCCCCTCCATGCCAGTGACAATCTAGTTGGGAGTTGAGTTGAGAGTGAACTGAAATCGAAGCGCAGCTCTCACTCGTCGCTCACCTGGTCCAGATCATTGGTCATGTGGATAATCAGACACTTGTGGGCCAGTGGGCTGCTATCGATCCAGCTGCGTAGTTGCTCCAGCGTGCAAAATTGTTGAACATTGGGCTTTACCGGGCACGGCACAGCGCTGTTCTCATTATTGGGCTCCATATTCCGACTCAAAGTGTCTTAATGCTCTAGCGCGAACTGTCAAAGCGTAAAAGCAAAGCGAGCAGCGATATGCGAACTGTAAAAGAGTCTAGAATTCGCCGGCATGTTTATCAATGATCAATTATCAAAGCATATAGGTAGGCATTAGAAAGTCGAAGCTTCTCAATTTTCATAAAGCATTTTTGTTTCACACAAAGTCAACGGCTGGGCATTTACTTGGCATTAACAAAGTATTCTATTTGTGTATATCATTGCATGAGTGTGTGCACCTACGTGGGCCCTCATCTTAATTATGTAGCACTCTAAATTGATCGATAAGTTATCGCAAAGTAATGCCTATCCTGAAGAGTTGTTCTTTCACAATTTCGAATAACTTGAAGCTCATTCTATTTTCGATAAATTATCGATAACCATTAAGTACCATTAGTTTGAGTTTTATTCCCTTACATTCTCTTTTCCATCTAGTTTTGACAATTCTAATTATTTTGCCCTTCAGCAAGTTATCGATAAGTGATAATTATCACTAGATATTCATGTTTTATATTCTCACATCTCATACTAGTGAGTCGTAGCCCATGCATACATCATTCGATCCTTAACACTCAAGACATTTACTAATATCAATTTGTTATCGATAAACAATCATTACGCTTTGCTGGGCAGAGCTTGCCAAATATTTTGTCTTAAGTTCTCGAGAATCGCCTCCACTCCAATTTCTTTATTTATCCTAGTCATTTCGTATATCTAACAATATCGATAACTTTACAAGTCGATTGTCAATTACAATTGTATGCTAAACATTTTTTACAGTCCAACATATAAAATAGGTTGTAAATGCCAAGAGCTCTGCCCACCCCATCCCCATCCATAGCACATAAACACATCAATGATATCGATTTAATAGGAATTTTGTCTATGTTTATGTCAAATGTTATGTGAACTGTTTCGCATTCCTCAAATTTTGTTTAGAGTTCGACTGAACTAACTAATTGCCAATTTTGTGATACGAAATTGAACTCGCTGAGTTTTTAGCTGACGACCCGTGGCTCGCATTATTATTAAAAAGAGGAAAAACCGCCTACAGCAACAGGAGGAACAAACAGTCAAAACAGTGGCAAACCCAACAAATCAACGCATAATGATATGAAAATCTGTTGGCTTTTGTATTCCGGCTGAAGTGAAGCCATTCGCCTCACCCTTAACCTCTCCACCCCAGCCGCCAGCCCCCAGCCCGCGCCCTCGCGTTCTACCACACTCCACACACATAAAAGTAGGCGAGTGTATGTCAACAATTTGTCCTAAATTAGGCGTAAAATTTACAGATTGCCCTGCTAAACAATAACAACGAGCCAACCCCTAATAAAAAAAAATAAAGCCGTGAAGAGACTGACTAATAGATATCCTATAGTGACATAGATATCCTATAGAGACATATTTGATCTATGATTTATATGAACTAAGTAGATTACTGGTGCTTCATGATTCACAACTCATTTAGAATTCATAATTCTCATAATTCGTGATTCCCAACTACGGCTCGGAGCATTATGCATTATTCATTGTGTTGAAAGATATTTTCGGACCACGATCCCAAAAAAGATCCATATTGACACCAAAACAGACAGCTAGATCTATATATATATATATGTACATACCTGATGACTCCAACATTTGATATACCCACTCACAGCATGTTTAATGAGTGTCTGGTATAAAAAAGGTTTGCTAATAAAAGGGTAGTTGCTACTTATCATCAGGCTCAACCTTAACCTCGTCGAGCACCACATCCTCATCCACATCATGCTCATGATTATGAATGTTATCGTTATGATGATTGTTCAGTCACTCACTTTTTTTCGACACTCTTCAATTGGCTGGACAGGGTATGTGTGGAGGGGGCGAGGGGAATGGCTTTGTTCAACCCCCTTTCGCTAATTTGAGGCTTTTATGACATCTAATTGAAGTAGAAGCGAATACAGTTGGCATTGATTGCGCGACTTTGTGGTAACAGTGAAAAGAACAGGATTACAGTGTTGACTAATGCCGCACTTATGTGAAACTCACTCTCCCGCTCGAGATTGTAATCGTTGTAATAATTTATGCATTGTATATGTATCTAAGCTGATTTGCATAATTGGCTCAAGGCAGAAGGTTAAATGTACCAGATATATATCGTATAGCTGCACCTTGTATAGCTCATCAAGTGCTATCTTAATTGCTCCCGCGGATCTAGATCAAATCTGATTTGGTTAGAGCAGAAAGGCTTTTCCCATGGACACAGGTTCAGTTAAGGTAGGTTAGACTTCGATTGGCTATTCACGCAGAAGTATTCAGCTGAGGAATGTCATAATTTTGAACTATTTAAAATTATACAAAATTATACAAAAATTATTGAAAATATTTTAAAAATGTAATTTAAAAGACAATGAACACTTAATGAGGAATTGTACAAAAATGTTAACACAAAGTTCACCTATTAAATCTCAAACAAAAATTGAATAGAAATTGCGACCAAGTTTTTAATTGAAAACCGTTTGAAACTAATTTGAAAAACCGTTGAGTGTTTGTTAATTGCAATTTGAGGTTAGGCTAGATGCCAAGCACTTATAAATGCGCGCACACACATACACACGTACACTCACCCACACATGTACGTGCATGTGTGAAATTTCTGCATTTAATGCGGAACAAGTTTGTGCGCGTTCCTTGGCCCCTTGGCTGCCTTTGTAAAATATGCATAATTAAAATATACATAGATATAAAGTGCACAATGCGCCGTCGTCTTGGGGCAAAAGTTGTTAATCTTTTCATGCAGCTGCATAATTAAAATCTGAATATAGAAATTCTATGAAAAATTGCGCCTCCAAATGGGCCAAATGGCAAATAACAACAACAGCACTGGAAGCAGCGAAAAAGGCATAAGAAAAAACCTGCACACATACAGTGACAGACATACAACTTAACAGTCGCTGCTCGTTAACAGTCAGCTTTTGGCCTCGCCGCTGATGCTGCTTCTGGTGTTGTCTCTTTCTCCCTCTCGCACATTTGCGCTTTTAGCTGTCTATGTGTGTGCGAAGTAATTGCAAAATATGAATGCATAATGAGCAGATATTTCCAAGTGTGCAAAGGAAACGTCAAGCAGCAACGGTGGGCGTGGACCATGGGGGGGCGTCAACTTTTATGCTAAAATGTGCGAGGCGCGCGTGCATTCGCATTTTGTCAGATTCTGCCTTACAAGGACAAACACATACGTACATACATATGTACATATATATATGTATGTAAGTATGTTTGTATGTAGTACAAGTATGCAAATATGCATACTATGTGTATGCTTATACAATATTGCAGCACGAAACTGAAAAGCATCTCCACTAGCACATATTCGCATAATGTGCGCATCAAACAAAGATGGCGGCCATTGAGTGCCGTCGAAAGATGTTAAGCAGAAGAGCTCATTAAAATTGCTGCCCATTGGACTTGTAAACAATGTTAAGTTGCCTATTAACAGAGACGCCAACCAACATGTTCATACGACATACATATGTACAAAAGCATATGTATGTACATACATACATACATACATGTATGTCATTAGAGGTGTCACTCTACATACCTAAATATGTATGTATGTATGTAATATAAAGATGCATAAATATTCATACATATGTATGTACATTTGTAGGTAATTTAAACATGCATATATATACATATATACATACATACATATGTACATATGGACATATGTACATATATACATATATATAAAATATCAATATATCAAAGTTTAGCTTAAATCAATCCAATTCCATTTAAATCTTAGGAAACAATAATATTATATTCACTCTAAATACATACATACATACGTACAAAAGCTACATACATTTACTGGCCTTTGCACATGCGAATCCTCGATATCCGTTACTAAGCTAAGAAGATATCGATAATTAAAACGATCATTTACTGATTGTGCATCTCGATATTCTAACGATAGGCTTAAATTGCTCATTTCAAAGAAACTACTCATTTGGCTCTGTAAGCAAAAGTTTAACGGAAATGTAGTCCACATGTATGTACATAAATCTAAACAATTATCAATAAGATGAAACGTTTTTTATAGGACTTGGGCCATACGTCCACAGGGTTTTGATATCGAGCAAGTGCGCCAGGCTATGTTTAAATCTTGTTTAAATGACAAAATCCAGTTCATCAACTCCACGGACAACGTGATTGAGGTGAGTGTGCCGACAATATGAGGGCAAACAAAACTTATTTGTACATTTCTAAACACGATTAGTTAATTGAGGCCTTCGGCGAACTGATGTCACAGGAAGAGATCGAATTTGGCGCTGAGCCGCTGGCTGCGCTTCAAGTGGCAGGAATGATGCTCTTTATGCTGCACCACAACGATTTGGCCAGCACTCAAGTGCAGCGCACGCTGTTCATGCAGCGCTGCTTCGATTACATGGCTTGCACCGAGGAGACGCACGTAGGCAGACTAATACTGATTAATAATAGTAACAGATAGCCGTTAACTAACTAACGAACATTCTACCCAATCGTGGCAGGTGCATGACCTGTGCACACAGATCCTCCTGCTGTGGGATGTGAATCAATCGGATAATATGCTAAACCTGATCCTGTGCTGCCGCTACGCCAGCCCGCTGGGCACTATGGCCCAAATCGTCGGCAACTGCCTGCTCTGGGCTATGCTCGATAAGCTGACGGATCTGGGCTTCAATGAGTATCGTCTGCGTCCCTATCCGGAGTTGATGATGGCCATTGCCATGGTCAATCCGTTGGTCTATTTGCAAAACTATTTGCATTCGCTCAATTTGATTGTGCGCGTGATTGCGGCACTCCTGATTGCCGGGCCGTACGGCTCCACTGAGAAGTTACGCACCGAAGTGGGCGTACCGGAGCATGTGCTCGAGTTTCCCAATGCCGATGCGGCTGTACTATTTCGTTGGCTTAACACCATTATCGAGGAGCTGCGCGACGAGCTGCAAGTGCGCGACGGCCATGTCCAGGAGCGCATGATCATACTGGAGGCGTCATGCGAGCTACTGAAGCTGGTGCATGCTCATCTGGCTGATTATTATCAGAGCATGTATAGCATTGCCGACTTCGAGGACGATGGCTTCGTATCGGACCAGCAGTGCGACAACGATACAGATTTCGAATGGCTCCTATAACGGTACTGTCTGGGTATATATGTATGTATATGCGAATACGAATACGATATATATATATTATATAAACTATTTTATGAAAAGTCTATTATAGAAACCATAAAATGTAGTAATTTATTTACTTAACAATATATTGATCAATAATCTAGGCATACGCGTTTATATTCCAGATGTAAAATATGAATGAATAGTTTCAAAAAACGTCTTTGAGGTTATGCGCGAATGGCTCGTTACTTTTATTTTAAATGTTACGGATATGTGATATATGCTTACCTCTTGTCTCTATATGGTTTCCACTGAGAACCACTTAAATATCACTTCAATATTTTAGTGATATGCAGACTTTTTAGCTTTAGTTGTTGTATTGCGACTTAGATCAAAAATTTTAGCACCACGCACTAGCTGAAGATGTTGAACGGCTTTGCCGGAATGCTGGCCGGAAACGAGATTTTTTTCTCCTCTGCAATCCTTTTCCGTGCAGTGTTGAGGAGCAGCGCGCGCAGCTTATAATGTAGACGGTAACACAGAAGAGCAGAACGGAACAAACTGGAATGGAATGGAACGCCAGATGTAATGGAATCAAGCTTCGCTTACATTTGCTACATTGTATTACAGCAGCGTGCGCTGCTAATGCAACGGTTCTATAGCCGAGCTGAAGGGAACAAAGTGGAATGGAACGGCAGATAAACCCTCGTTTCATCTGCAATCCTATTCCATGCACTGTTGGTCAGCACGAGAAGCTAACGACATAAACGTTTCCATAGCTGAGCTAAGCGGAACAAACTGGAATGGAACGGCACCATATTACATTTCAATTGGGTTTCTCTACTAAGGCAAAAGCTGATTGAATTTATTGTATTTAGCGCCTAAAGCAGATATGTTTGGAATTGGTTTGGGTCGCTACAAATGCGGTTTTTTACTTATTTCTAATAGTGGACGCCGCTCACTCATCGAGCACGCTGTCCAGCCATTGCTCGACATCGTTTTTGCTAGTGTTCGTCGTCGGCGTCGCTGGCTGCACCACCGGCGAGGCAATGGCCTCCAATGGCAGTGTTGGGCCCGTGTCAATGGAGGCCTGAGCAAGCTGAGCATCGGTTACCGCCAGCAGCTCGTCTAGCTCGTCTGGTGCAGCTGGCTGGGCAGACTTAGTGGATTTGGCCGAGGTGACACGGGACTTTTCATCATTCAATGCTTTCAACACGAGCTCTTGGTAGATGAGCTCGGCTTGCTCAGCTGCTTCGTTTTGGGCAATAATCTGGGATCGCGTAAACATCGCTGGGGAATAGTCCATGCGCTTGTAGAAGGGAATCGTTTGCAGGCCGCAGTTGAGTAGACTGAGATTGAGTGTGAAGTAGCCGCTGGCGGCCTTGGTGGGCACCTGAGCCTGACCCTCTGCTATGTTGCTCCATTCTTTTTCGACGCCAAAGGTGAAGTGGCCACCGCCCATGCTGGGGAACTGCGACATCTGCTTGTAGTCACCGGCGCGCAACTGAGCGCGTGCACTTTCATCGATGGGAGCGCCATCAACGAGATGGTCCACATCCTCCGAGTCTGACGGCGGCAGCGTATCCAGCATATTGCGATTCTTTTGCGGTGCCACCGAGCGAGTGCCACTCGACCAGCCTTTGCGACCGAAACGCGGCTCATCACTTGAGTCAGCCACATCTACAATGCTGCGGACTGTCGTCGCTTTTGGCGAGCTGGAGGACGTATTGTTGCCGCCTCGATGCGATTGCGGATAGTATTTATGCTGCTTCATATTCTTGCGATTTCTGAAGGAAATATAAAAATAATTTTGTATTACTCGCGCTCGCGATTACGTGGGCGTGTGTCTTACTCTCTCGATCGATTGTCCTTTTCGCTCATTTTGGCCTTGTGCGCAATGACAATGTAATTAATATGATTTGTTTACGTTTTTCCCTCAGTACTTTGTTGCTGTGGCAGCGTGAACAGCTGTGCCGGTAGCTTTCCTTTGCGAATGTGCAAGCCACAGCTGTTAGCGCCAACACATGCCAGCAACTATCGCCTAATCGAAGGAGATAATTAATTTTGAAGCTTATTTAATACGTTTGAGACTCAAACAAAAATGCTACACGAGTATATAGTGAATTCAATAAACATTTGAGTACATTACATATTAGATTATTATCTTACAAATATTCAATACAATAGTAAGCTATTCATTTTCAAAGTTTGCCGCATATTTTTTAATCGCCGACACAAGCTGGCAACCATCGCTTTTTATTATCGATACGATTTATAAAGTGATGATTGCTTCGAAAGAATTACGAATTATAATGAATAACAAGTAATGTATTGACAGCTTTATTTATATTTATATATATGAATATCTAAAGTAAGTATTTTATGTCACAGTACAGCATAGAAAATATATGTGTTTCTGTGTTTCAAATTTGGCGCCACCTTTTCATTCAAAGCACATTGCTGTGCTTTGCCTGTTTGAAATCAAATCGATAGTTATGCCCGAATCACGACAGACGTAAATCGATAAAGTCGGTAATATTAAATTCTTCCAGCAACGGCAACAGCTTTTGTTTAATTTCTGTGATAATTGAGTGGCAATACGGGCACAGACGCCATTTGGTTGCCCTTGGAACAGATGTTGCGTCTCGTACAGGACCTGCGACTTAGCAGTAATTCAAACTCGAACGAATTGTCAGCTAAGGTTGCTGAAATTTATCGAGAATGTTTCGCTGAGCTGGCATCCAGCTCTTGCCCGCTTAGTCAAAACAAGTGTAATTCCAATAGCAATGGCCAGCACTCCACGTTGCTGCAGTGCTTCGATGCCAAGCCCAGCAACCAGACGGAGAGTATAGCACCCAGCCCCGACGATGTCTGGATCTTTGGCTATGGCTCGCTTGTGTGGAAGGCGGATTTTCCGTACATAGACCGACGACGCGGGTTCGTCTGTGGCTACAAACGAAGATTCTATCAGCACAGCATTGATCATCGTGGCATACCCGAGAAGCCGGGTCGCGTGGTAACCCTACTGCCTGGCGATTTAACCCAGGATAGAGTCTACGGCGTCGCCTATCGCATTGCCGCTGCCCAAAAGGCTCAGGTGCTGGATCACCTGGATTACCGCGAGAAGAATGGCTACGAACGCTGCAACTTGGAATTCCATGAATATCCATCCACAACGATGCCCATTGAGGTAATCATGTACGTGGCCACGCAATCGAACGACTCCTATGCAGGACATGTGTGGCAGGTGCCGTGCATAGCAAGACAAATCTTTACCTCGGCCGGTCCCAGCGGCCCCAATCGCGAGTATCTGTTCAATTTGTTCATAGCGATGCAGGAACTCTTTCCGGACGTCGTTGACGAGCACCTCACCGAGCTGGTAGACTGTGTCCAGCAGTATATTAAGAACGAGGAGCCGGCGCTGCTAGAGCAAGCTCTTAAAGCACAGATTAATTGTATATTGAGTGAATTCCTGGCAAAAGATGCGAGCGAGCAAAAGCAGGAGGAGCTTGCTCAGCGCTTGGAGGCTTTACTCGAACGTTGCCAACGGCCGAGCTGGCGCGAAGAGTTACTCAGTCAGGAAGTGCAGGAACAGACCTTTTGACCAAGCTCTTCCGCCCTTCCCTTAGATACCTTTTCTGTTTCTATGTTTCCTATAGATTCAATTCATCTGTGTACATGATTTGTAAGATAAATATCAATACATACATATATCCATATACATATACATATATGTATAATAATATAAATATTTGTATACATATAAAGTAAATGGGTAATAAGCAAATCGAAACTATTTAATCTTCTTGGGTAATTGGGAAGTTTGTAATAAATTTCTGCTGATAGAACATTATTTACAACCGTATTAAACATTTTGTTTATAATTTATAACAAGTTATCGATACTTTGTTGTTGGCTTTAAAAGGCCAGCAACAGTATGTACAGCCGCTCAGATACGATAGTGTGATGACACACTTTTATCGATTACATTTTGCTTTAAACTGAATTTGCCTCGTGAAACAACACAATATTCCCGTTGAATTGCTTTTTAAATCATTTTCAATAAACTAACGTGAAAAGCTTCATCTGAGTTTTGACACGACTAATTGAAGTTAACAGAAAAAAACAACGCCATAAACTAGGTAAGTTTAAGAGCTCCAATTTTTGCAAACAAAGCAAATTTAAATGCGCAAAGAGCTCTTAGTGCAGCCACGTCTGTTTGTACGTCGAGATATTTAATATATTCGATATTTTGTAAATGCAGTGCTGAAACCCTATCTTATTTCGAAATATATTGCAAGATACGAGATGAACGCCGTGAGTATCAAATAACAACAATTTAAAAAAATAAAACATAATGCATTGATACATTTACATTTGCAGGAGATAAAAGCCAAAGTGGAAGCATGCTGTCGCACAGCGGAAGATTTTACACGCTTGTACTACGCTTCATTTGATAATCGCCGCCATGTAAGCAAGCGAGCCGGCAAATGCAATATTCGCAATAGCAGAAAGTATAAACAGTTATTCTATTTGTTTACTTTTAGCAAATGGGTCGCTTATATATAGACACGGCCACGTTTAGCTGGAACGGGAATGGAGCTCAGGGCCGCGAGACGATCGAGCGTTACTTCCTGGAGCTACCCTCGTCCCGTCATCAGCTGACCACGCTCGATTCGCAGCCAATTCTAGATCCAGCTGTCGGCGGCCAGACGACGTACATAATACTGGCCAGCGGCACAGTTAAATATGCCGAACAATCCCTGCGCACGTTTCAACAATCATTTGTAATTACCGCCGAGAATGATAAATGGAAAATTGCCTCCGATTGTTATCGACTGCAGGAGCCGCTTAATTAGTTAGTAAATTACAGTTACAGTGTTACAATATAGACTAAGAATGAACAAGAGCAAGTTGAACCAGGGCAGTTTGATGAATTTAGAGGGGGCTTGTCAGCTGTCTAGAAGGCAAACAGCCTTTAAATTTACTAATGAAATATATATACAAAATGTAAAGTTTAAGTAAATAAATATATATATTTTTTGTACAGAATATGTATATATGTAGATATGTATATTCACTATATGTACAACTGGAAATTGTTGAAAGGTCTCTCGTAGTCCTTTAAGAAGAGTGTCAGCTACGCATGTACATGGTGTACTCGTCAAAACACAATTAAAATAGTACAAAGAACATTAAGCTATATTTAAACTAATATTAAGTTAGCTGCCTATGTATGTGTGTAAGTGTAATGGACATGCATGCACTTGTGCCAGAGAGAGAGACAGAGAGAGCCTCGTTTTGAGCCGAGCCGTCGTACCTTTCGCTGTTGACCCCTTTTAGCTCGTTCGCCCAGCGCTTTGTCCACGCACTCGCGTCACAACAATCGTCCAGCCCGCACGTGCGGCCAGTGGCTGCTGCACAAATTGGCCTCGCTTGATTATTAGCTGGCAGCAAAAGTTGTTAAACAAAAACTAAGGAAAAAGGAATATATATCTATACATTGATAATTGGCAGAGTTGAGCGAATTAGTAATTGGCTGGCAACAAGGGCCTGGGCTATTGCAACAAGTTGTGCGAGGCTGAGTTTAACCTTGGCCTAGTTGTCCGGTTGTGTGTGTGTGCGTGTGCGTGTGTGTGTGTGGGCGGGCGCACGGCAACAGCCAAGGCAAATGATTGGAGAGCTTGGCTGTCCCATTGGCATGCCCACAGCAAGTGCGTTAAATGCAGCTGCCAGCGCAACGCCAGCAACAGCAACAGCACCAGCAGCAGGCATCATCATTGTCAGCAGCAGCAGCGACGGCGGCGGCAGCAGCAACACTGGCCCAAATACAGCCACTGCCAATACACATCACTATCAGCAGCAACAGCAACAGCAACAACAGCAGCACCAACAGCAACAACAGCAACAACAGCAGCAGCAACAGCAACATAAGCATCTTCAGCAGCAACAGCAGCAGCAATATCATCAACTGACCAACAACATGAGCATGCTGAATGTGAAGAGTGGCGGACGCTATCTCTGGACGGATCGTGAGCTGCTGATGCATCTGCAGAACTATACGCCGCTCATCTTGCTAATCGATTTTGTGGAGAAGACACGCACCAAGCGCTTCTACGAGAGCTCCGAGCGCTATGAGATCCTGATGCTGGTCTTCATCATGCGCAAGGGCGCGCCATTCTGTGAGAACAAACGCTTTCCGGCGGAGTATTGGGTGAACTTGTCGGTCGGCCCGGTGGCCGAGGCGTTTGATCGACTGCAGGCGGCCATCGATATACCGGACCCACAGCTGCCCATCCACATGAGCGTCACGGACCTGACCACCTGGAAGGAGATGTTCGATGGGGCGATGATTGACATACGCCGTTTCGCCTATTATACGGATCCCATGCAGCTGGCCGATGTGGGCGTCTATAATCGCATTACGTTCGAGCAGCGTTTCGCCATGCAGTGGCAGGAATAGATGACCTTGACCTAAGACACACAAACAACCCCCCTCCCAGTCGCCCCTCCCTCTGCCCCACACTTGTTGGCTCGTGTAGTTGAGCTAGAAAGACGTTTGCCAAAGTGAAATGATTCAACAAATAAGTAATTGATTTACTACTGTATATTAGAGTCTTATAAAGCAACCATGTACCGTTAGTCTCAATTAGTTGCTTTGCTGTTAAGGTTAGGTTTTAATTTTCATTTATCTAATACGATATTTTAGCAAGCCTTTACAGTGATTTGACTTGTTTTGTGTTTTTCGCTCAGCTCAAAATTCGCTTTAAGACTACATAGGTTTTATTTTAGTTGAGGTTAGGTTTACAAAAAGGCTTATTTAAGGAATATATATATTATTATATATTTTTATGAGATCTACATATGTATATCTTTTGCAATTTTATGCATATCAATTGTAAATGGCAATTCGGCTATTCGCTTAGAAATCGATATATCATAAATATGAGAATATTATATATGTATATGTATACGTACATATATACAATATATATCTATATATGTAGAAACATTACAGTACCTGCACACACATACACACCTATATATAAACATAGATATAGAACCGAGTTAGTTATTGGTTTACGGCTAGCGGAATTTATATACTGTGCCTTCTCCTCCAGCCCCATCACCCAGAACTCTCTTCCTATCTCTGCCTTACTCGAATTCCATCAGTCTCTGTTTCTGCCTCCCACACGGAAATCCAAATTCTATTCCTTAATTTAGTTGCCTATATCTTTATATGTATTTAATATAAACATATGACTATGCTGCTTTAATGGAAATAAATGTTATTTATTGTTGACTAGCATAAATGCATAGCACGCGCCTATAACTGTACAATTTATGACATCAGAAAAAGTATGAATATATGAATACGAATATAAATGTAGTTGTATAATTGAATTTGTTAGTCAGTCATAATTAATTGCGCATAGCTTTCGCTTTGGTCAGCCGGTCGCGATCGAAGATGCCCAGCAATTTACCACGCGTCATTTCCTTGGACTCTCGTACACCTAATCTATAGATTTGATCGTGCATGGCTTTAATCTTCTCCACCAGCTGTTCGGGCGGCAGGCGAGCAAATTCTGTAATGATTAATAGAAATTATTCAAGTTCCGATTTAATTGTCCTTTATACTAACGGTTAATGGCAGCCATGTTGACTTTGGTGTGGATCTGGTTACAGTCAACGCTTGGTCTGTGGATTGGTGTATCACTCATAGTTAAAAACTCTTCCATGCCAGGAACTGTAATGCATTGCAACCCATAACAATTATATGTGTGTTTCTCTTAATTGACGTGTTACTTACAGCGTTCTGGCCATTGTACCGGCGATTCACGCAGGGTTTCCAGCGAGATTAATTCATCCACTTTGGCGGTTTCTTTGGCGTCTTCGCTCGCTTCATGTTTTTCTGCTTCAATTAACACTTTACTAATTAATGCTAACCCAGAGTACTCTTTATTTGTATGGCTCACCTGGTGCTGACATATCTGAATCTGCTTTTGAATTACCAATCATTGGTATTATTGAGTGACACAATTTATGAATTCTCAATCAACATAAATTACTCCAAAAGGTAAACAAAATTTGCCGTCAACGCTCAACCGGCGTTGCCACCCTTAAATGAACTCTATACTTATGCGATATATCGATAGTTATATAAAGCGTTACTGCATATTGTTATACAATATTATCGTTTTAATGAATGATTTAATTATTAATATTTGAAAGTTTTATTTTTCAGCAGATTTGTGTTTCAAAACAATCTGCTTGTTTAATTGTTGCTATAAATAAATACTAGCAGTATATGCATAGGCTCTCCTTCGTGAGAGTATTGCGTGCTCGCTCTGGCTCATTGAGTTAGCCAACCTGACATCTGTCAATACTCACTTTATAGTGCCCGCCAAAGAGCTGCGTACAGAAAACAAATTGTTGGTTTCAATATAAAATCATAGTTTTCAACCATAGAATAATAATGTAGCTATTGAAGCTGGAGAATACTTTTTAAGAAACCAACTAAAATGTGTTTAAGGGTGAACAGTTGGGTTAAAACATGAACTTGGAACAGCTGATGTGACCCAACGTCAAAATTTTTGCCATTTACTTACGTTGCTGACTGTCAAATCGTGCGTGTGAGCACTTTCTTTCAGTCATTGCTTTGCTCTTACTTTGGTTACATTTACCTGTTCCCTTATTTAACTTTAAAGCAACGTTTGTTTTCAATTTAGTTGCTGTTTAACTAACAAAACGTGTGCAACTACCTCGCAAAGACAATTCCGACAGTTACCACATTTATTCGAGTGGCGCCAAAATTTAAATAAAATAATTATATGTACATATGTACATATACAAACATATGCAATTAATTGTTATAAAGCTCTTATGATATATGTGCAACCAACTAGCACTTCCCATAGACGCACCCTACCCCCTAATAAGAATCAAGTTCTCCAATCAACAGTGCGTGGCAATAACTCATGGCCGCTAGCAAATTTTCAACAGCGACGTCGTTAACAACGGGCCTCAAGCACACAACACCGTTCGATGGCATTTGTGCGAAAATCTCAGCGTTCTACTTTGACTTAGATAACACGCTAATCCCAACGCGGGCCGGTGATTCCAAAGCAATTCGCAAGGTACGATAACTTACTGTTAACTTCGTGGGTGAAAGTTCGCGCGCGCCACCAAACGCACACACACACACACACACGCGCACACTTCCATAGATATTTATAAAAATTTTCCACTGCAACCGCTCGTTACGTATATTTGTTGTTGTGTGCGTGTGTGTGAGTGAGTGTGTGTAGGCAAATAGCACGCGCTTGCATTTAGCCGTTTGTACGTGTGCGTGAGCATGTGCATGTGCATATTTGATCAATGCATGTCGTCTTTCTCTAACTAGAGGTCAAAGTCATAAGAGACCCAAAATAAACAGCCGCACATCTTCAATGGCCGAATGACACTTGTTAGTTTTGCCATTTACCGCTTAACGAGACCCCCCTCAATTAGCTTACGCATGAAATGATACAATTGTGTGAGTGTGTTTTGTTATTGTGTCGTTTTATTTGTTTTTACGCAATTTGTTTATTATTATTATTATTATTTTACTTGTTGTTGACAAAAGAAGCGAACCGGAACCCAAATCAGAGCAAATGTACTGCATTCGGGAGTAATTAATATTAATTTAATACAGGAAGCCTGCTGTATACTAACTGCTTTTCGTATAATACAGAAATGATAAATAGCCTCATTTGCGTTTAAAAAAAATAAATATGTTCTATGTGCACGAAATGTATATGATTAATAATTAATTCCTTTCGAAATCGGTGTTTGTGAATATGTTTAATCAAGCCGGGGTATTATCATTTTTATGATGGACAACCAGGAATACAATTTTACAATTTTGTTGTTTTCATTCTCGTAATAAATATAAAGAAATCTGAAGAACAATTAAAGCAATAAAAAAAGTAGATTGTATATAAATGAAAATTTTATAATATATCTGGTAGTATTTTTATGTACATTTATATTCTGTATATAATTTTTCTATTTAATATAAATTATATTTTTGCATATACATATGCATTTTATACACACTCACATATACATATGTATGCATGTTTGATAAGTCCTGTTTTGAGCAACATTTCGCATGTGTCATCCTGGCAGGCTCAACCCTATAGCTGTCTCATTCTAGTGCAAGCGTGTGCCGTATGGCGGGTGCAGGCATACGTGAATTCGCGTTAGCTAACAGGTGTCATCCTGTTCACTGTTATTTACGATGCGTTTCTCACTGTCTGCTCTGCTTGCTCTTTCAGCTAGCTGACGTGCTGGAAACCCAGTATAGCTTTACCAAAGACGATGCCAACCTAGCCACACAGAACTTTTTGAAGTCGTTCCGTCGCTGCCCGGACAACTCGCAAACATCGCTGGACTCGTGGCGCACGCACTTGTGGCGCGAGTCCCTGCAGCAGAAGCACAAGCATCTCGCCGAGCAGATCTATCCGCAGTGGCTGAAGCTACGCTACCGTTACCTGGCCATACCGCCCGACTATGTGCAGCTGTTGCAGCGCATGCGTCGCGCCGGCTACTTTCTAGCGCTCATCACCAATGGCCCCTCGAATGCGCAGCGCGAGAAGATCAACAAGCTGCACGTCCGCAGCCTCTTCGACTGTGTGCTCGTCTCCTCGGATCTGCCGTGGGAAAAGCCGCATCCGGAAATATTCTATGCCGCTTGCAATTTTCTTGGCGTCAAGCCGCACGAATGCGCCATGATTGGCGATAAACTCGAGACGGACATCAAGGTGAGTGCACGATGCATGATGCAATGACACCAGCTGAAAGTGAGCTAAATTCTTTTCACTGTAGTACTTTGAGGCTGTAGTGCTTCAGACTTGAATGAAATCTGATCCTCAATAGATGTTGAGCGTATAAGACTAGGCTGACAGCAATGGAAGGCTGTTTCAAGGCCTAGTCTAGGTAGAGGTGTGGTTGTGTAGCCTAGTGTAAAACAAGTTGGATTCCACTTCTGCGTATCTCGCTCTCTCTCTCTCTCTATCGCTCTTTATAGGTCTGCATTGATCTTACACTAACAGTCTCGCTCTCTCTCTCTCTTTAGGTCTACATTGATCTTACACTAGCTCTCCCACTTCATCTATATGTACACTCCTTTGCTATCCATTATTCTCTCCCATTCTTTGGATCTACATTGCTCTCTACACTACACTCTACACTCTCTCCAGCTACAGATCCCCATTACGATTCTCCTCTTTCTCTCTCTTTTTCTCATTCCCTATATCCCTCCCTATTCCTTCTTTCCCTCTCTTTCACTCGCCATTGAATTAGCTTCACTAACTGCTCCATCTTCTTCTTCTTCCTTGACAGGGCGGACATCTGGCCCAGCTGGGCTTGACCTTCTGGTTGCCGCTGAGCACCAGCAGCGCCGCCTCACAGTGCCTGGACGATGTGGAGTACAAGCCGCACGTAAAACTCAACAGCCTGCTGGATCTGTACAAATACTTTCCGCGCCTGAATGCCGTCGCAGCAGCCGCCACTCCGAGCACCGCGAATCGTCGCGGCAGTCACAGCCAGAGCAGCAGCGGAAGCGGAAGTATCAGCGGAAGTGGAGCAGGAAGCAATAGCGATCATGATCGCGGGGCTGGAATGCGTCCGCAGCCATATGGCGAGGACTCGTATCAGCGCCAGAGCGCTTATAGGCGTGGCGGCTCATTGCCAGCCATGGACTGTTCCAACAGCGAAGCGGAGAACAGCTGCGATAGCTTTATTTAGGAACTGGTTCGAAATCGGACAGAGTGATACGCAGTTGCCTAGCGAGGGGCGAATGTTACACGACGAAGAACAAGAAGCAGAAAAAGAAAAGAAGAAGAATAGGAGGAGACTCTGAGCAATTGAATGTGCAAGACATGGAAATGATGTACCTTCAGTTTACAAAACCAAACACACACACACACACACACACATACAGAAACAGAAACACATCCACACACACACACTCACACACTCGACTATATTAAATAGGTTGAAGTCTTAAAGGAAATAATCAAATTGGAATTGAATCAGCGCAACAATTTTAAATAAGCCAAGCTGAATCTCGCAAATCTGCCATATATATCGATATATATGTATATGAAATACTTTAAGCAACCAGAGCACACCAATTGTTGCATCCATATGTAGTATATACATACATATATATATATATATATATGTATTTTTCTAGAAACCACGAAGAGCAAATGAAATTGTTATTGAACAGATATGAGATATGCATGTACTATATATATACACACACATTTATATATATACATAAGATATATATGTATATATAAAGCTAGGCTATGGTAGCTTTAAGCTATAGACAGCACAATTTGTAAGATTTGCACCACCAGAAACACCAACTGCACCACCAAAACAAAACTCATGAAAAGTAAAAAAAAACCTGTTAAAGAAATGAAATCAAGAAATTTATGTAAAAAAAAAACTGAATACAAATTGTTAACTAATGTTGTAGGCATGTTGAATCTGTACACACATACATATATAGATACTCTCCTATGTATATATATCTTGGATATGTATATATATATATAGATATATGTTGTTGCTTGTTTATTTTATTTTATGATTTTGCAATAAGTTCCTCAACTTTTTGCTTCAACACATGCTCAGCGCGTGTGTGTGTGAGTGAATGCGTGTGTGTGTGTGTATGTGTGTGTGCGTGTTTTGTATTTTGTAGCATTAGCCAACGGAACTGAGCCAAACACTTAGCAAACTGTTATTTGCAATGCTTTGTACCCTCGCACAAATTCCCTCCAAGCGCAATCCTAAGGAACTGTTCCTAGCGTATGTCTGTGTGTGCATGAGTGTGTGTGTGTGCCTGTGTGAGAGTGTGGCTGTTGTACTGCACTGTTATATATTATATACATACATACATACGTCAATAAATAACAAAGCAATAACATTGCAAAATCTAAACGAGTTTGT